TACCAATGATACTAATCAAGGTTCGGTTCCATTTACTTGTTTTTTCTACCAATACAGAACCGGCTCCGTAGTGGTTCGCACACCAAGTTTTAAACAATTCGAAGCATTTCGACCAAAAGTAAATCTGTTTATTAGTTTCCTCTGGAACCAAAGTTTTTTAAGGTTCCGAACAGGTCGTTCTTTTGTTTACAAAGGTGCCACTGGGCAGAACCAAGGAACCAGTTCAAGAACCAGAGCTTATATTATAACGTAGCAGACGTGCTCAATAGCAGCACTGTGAGTCTGTTTGATCTGAGTGGAACTGAACCTGTGTTTACCCGACTGTTTCACGGCACAAAGGCTGCTGTGAAAAAGGTCTGCTGAGTGGGATGAAGTGGAGTTGAGTCCATCCAAAAGTCCAAAGGTGCTAAGGGTCTGGTGAGATCCTGGATGGAGGGTGTGGGATTGTAGATCCGACAGCGGGAAGGTCCGACCGACCCAGACTGGAACCTGGTCCAACTTGGTCCAACTTGGTCCTCGTGCTGAGTTAAGTTCTGGTAGTGGATCGAAGTCAGTCAAGCTCATCGGCTGACAGTGGCGTCTCTGAGGTGTTTCTGCTGCTTGAAGGACCTCTTTCAGATGCCCCACCCTCCTCGTTATCACGGCAACACTTCCTGTCCAGCAGCTGCTACAGTGAGAGAAAGAAGAGACAATTAACGAAGCTCAAAACCGTTTAACAATCAAACTGTCTCTTTAAGAGGAAGCTGGGTTCGCTCTATGGGCTCTACAGGTTCTCAGTACAGGTTCTAAAGATGTTAACACAACATGTTGAAGGTTCTAGGTTCTGCAGAATGTCCAACAGTATTTACTGACAGTTCTATAATAAGTTCTGCAGGTTTAGTTCCCTCCTGGTTCCCCAGGCTTTGCAGACTCTGTGGTTCTGTTATTTTGGGGCTTTGGTTTTTAGTGAACAATCGCTGCATTGTGTCGGACTTATTTATGCTCTTCTTCTGTGGTCTCCAGAGGAGCTGCTGCTCGCCAGCGGCGGTGCCCCGAGCGCTGCATGATGTCAGATAATAATGTTAATCCTCGGTTTCACCAGCGAGCACCGGGTCAGTTTCCTGCAGTGTGACTGGCAACGTCAGAGGAACCCGAGCAACAAACACTTTAACCTTTTCTTTCTGCCTTTAAGGGATGAAGAAACTCTCAAAGGCTGAAATATGTTTTTATGGTTTCGGCCCAAAAACATTTGGATTACTCTGATCAGGATTATTTGTTGTGTGATCTCTGCAGCAGCAATAACTCACAGTAAGGTAACCCGTTACATAAACGCAGTCTCACCATCTCGCCGTCCGTTATCTCTCCGCACAGCGAGGACTGCTGGCCAGTCGAGTCAGCAGACGGGCACATCTTTTATAATCTGCAGGAGAGGAGAACACAATGTTTATCTTTTAACAGAAACATGTTCAAACGTCTAAAGAACCGACAGTCCCGCCCCCAGAGCAGCAATTTGACAAAGCAATGGCGTCCGTGCTGTGATGCTCGCTGGCCCAAAAAGACTTCCCCCTTAAGGTTCCACTGTAGACGATACGGAGGCGTATTCCCGCCAAAATGACTATCAGGAGAAACTCTTTATCAAAGGATCTGAGTACTTCCTTCAGTGCAGAAGTAAAAGTTACTTTGCTTCAACCTGCAAACACACAACCAGCTCAGAGCGGTCACACAGGTCGTCGGTTCGATTCCCCGCAGTGTTAATGTGTCATGTTGCTGCGGGAGTTTCTTTGAGATTCAAACAGGATAAGACTTGTTTGAACACACACACACTTACACACACACTTATTTCAAGATACCGAGTGACATCAGAGTGCTGCTGTTCAGAACATTACACTGATAACAGTCTGTGTGTGTGTGTGTGTGTGTGTGTGTGTGTGTGTGTGTGTGTACTCACAGGCAGGTACTGTGCATTCTCTCGTGTTGTGGTACAGTCTGTTGAAATGTTTTCTGCACTTTGGGTTGAAGTAAAGAGGACCTGAGGACACAATCAAACACACTCTGAGGATTCTGGACTCTGATTGGACGGAGCGTTAATTAAAATACGGTCGTTTAAACTTAAAGACTGACTGAACTCTTAACTTGTTGCTAAGTAACTGCCAACTGTAGCTGCCGTTAGCTAGTTAGCACAGCAGCTCTGGACCGCCATCAGAACGCTAACAGGAATGACGCCAGAGGGATTGTGACAGCGTCATATTTTTGCGTCAGTATTGGGAGTAAGGCCGGGTTGGACCGGAGGATATTTCTGTTCCGGTTCTGGTTCATAATCGATGTCTTTGTCTGAACTGTTGGATGACCTCGGGCTGCGGCTGATAGCGCAGAGCTCTGACACCATTCAGAACTCCATAAACAAATATGCATATTTTAAAATCAGTTCTTAAAGACACAGAAAGCTAGAAACAGTACTCGATGGTTCCTACCTGTCAGGTGTATGATTAACTTCTCCTTGTATCGTGGATCTAGGTGGTGAGCCTCTGAAATAAAAACAACATGTCAGCAGCTGGATAATGAGAATAACCTTCATTCTACAGTTCAAAAGCTCAAGAATGAACTGATGTTGTTGTTGTTGTTGTCTGTCTCTGTTGAAAGTAGCTGAATTAGCTGTTAGCGGTTAGCAGTGTATGTACAGACAAATATCACTGAATTATTTTATACTGAAGAAAACTTAAAAACATGATTCTCACGCAGGTTCTGCAGCTGTGAGGCCTAAAACAGCTGTTTTGTCTCTGGAGTCTGGTAGAGAGTGATATTGATGTTACGGCTGTTTGTAGTTAAACTGAAGGTCCGTCTCATCAATGTCGCTGAATGAAGGATTTATTTCCACGAAACCGGAGTTAGTGATTGTTGGAAAGACTCACAGAGTCGGTTTCAGTGAGTTTTATTTAGTTTCTGTCAAGTTTGGAGTTTGTTTACGAGGTAAAATCAGCAGTTTTGTTAATGGAGTCTGGTGTTGCATTAATATTTATATCTATATTAATATAACTATATTCTGTTGTCTGAATCCAAACCTCCACACTGTCAGAACACACTGGTCCCAGGTCCAGACCGAGGACCCGGGGGCGGTTTGGCACCGGCTCCCGGCACTAATGGACCCAACTGTAAGTGCAGCAGTGAGTTAAAGTGGACTCATCCAAACAGACTGGATCACTTCTGTCTGTTTATTAAACTGCTGCTTGTTTACAGAGGTATTGTTTGACCTCTAGAACCTGTAGAACCTCAGAACCTCCAGAACCTCAGAACCTCAGAACCTCCAGAACCTCTAGAACCTCAGAACCTCCAGAACCTCAGAACCTCAGAACCTCTGAACCTCCAGAACCTCAGAACCTCCAGAACCTCTACAACCTCAGAACCTCCAGAAAATAAAGGACAGGAACACAAACACTACTCTTACTCAATGAGCAGACTGACGTTATTGTTTGTTTGTTTGTTTGTTTGTTTACTTTCTCCCTGTCTTTGTTTGTGAGTGTGTGTGAGTACACTGGGGTAGTTCTGTGTCTGTGTTGGTACCGACCCGGTCCTGGCTGACCTCTGCTCTGTCTGACTCCGGTTCCGGTCCTCGGGATCCGTCCTACGAGCTCCGACAGGCTGCGTCCGTCCGGTCGCCTCTCCACTCGGCCGCCGGAGCTCCGGAGCAGCGCCGCCGCCAGCAGCAGCACCAGGAGGACCGGGAACCGGGACGGCATCATGCGGACCTGAAGGAGCACAGCCGGGACCGATCAATCGATCGATCGATTGATTGATCGATTGATCGATCTGCAGACGGAGAGTAATAATCACACAAACTGACTGATTGATGAGCTGATCGATGTATTGATCAGTAAAACTTCATATTAACGGTACAGATCATCAATTAATTTGTGAATGAACACTGTCACTGATTATTGATTATCAGTTTATGATTGTTGATTGAGTGGTGTTCAAACTGGGGTCTGCGGACCAGCAGGGACCAGCAGGAAGAACTGATCACATTGATCGGAAGATGGAAGGGAAGGGGTCGGCTGTCTTTATTGATTGTAAGTGATATTGATCATTGATTGACTCATTGATCCATCAGGATGTAAATGAGTCAAACATTAGACATGTTTTATTGATCACATATCGATTAACATTAATGAACTGATGATCGATTACAGTCACAGTGACGTCATTAAACAATATCAATGAGCTCATTAAAGGAAACTGTCGATCAATGAACAGAACTTTACTGTAATCAATAACTGGATCTGCTGCTACAGTGAAATCATATCGATCCATGTTCACACCACAACTTCCAATAAGTTCCAATAAGTTCCAATAAAGTTTCAATAAGTTCCAATAAGTTCCAATAAAGTTACCTCTGTCAGTGCGCTCCGGTCCCGGCTCCTCCCGGGTCTCCCTCCCGGTCCCGGCTCCTCCCGGGTCTCCCTCCCGGTTCCGGTCCCGGCTCGGGGCGGACTCCCCGAGGATCTGGACTCTGCTCTGGTTCTGGTTTTGGCCTCTGGTTTCTGTCTGTTCTGGTTTCTGTTACCCCGGGTTGTTCTCGATCCGAGCCGCGTGCCGAGCTCCGGGTCCCGGTGGCATCTTACACCGGATCACTTGTGGAGCGCGTGCAGCTGAGGAAGCACCTTCATCATCTTCATCATCTTCATCAGCTCCCGGCGGCGGTCAGAGGGCGGGACGGGCTCATGTCGATTGTCCCCGGCTCACCCTGATCGATACTGCTGATCAGCTCTGATTGGACTCTACCGATCCGCGCTGATCAGGTGTGTGTGCAGCGCGCGCTCCGTCTCCTCCTCCGTCCTCCGAGGGAATAATCATCAGACTGTCAGCACGCGGAAATACAGCGGGGGGAGGAGGAGAGAGGAGGAGGAGGGAGGAGGAGGTTCCTGTCTGTCTGACACACAGCAGGCAGCGTCTGATGTTTGTACCAGCAGGGGTCAAAGGTCAGCAGTTTGAAATAAATAAATAAATCCAGAGTACGTCCACCTCTGAATGAAACAGCGAGTCTGAGCGGTTCCCACCAGCAGCGTGTTTCTCTCCGGGCTGATTATCAATAATCATTTTCAATAATCATTTTCAATAATCATTTTCGATAATCATTATTGATGATGATTATTGATGATGATCATTGATAATCATTATCAATAATCAGTGAAACAGATATGATATTTGGAGGTTTGCAGTAAAGATGAAAGGAAGTTGAGGAATGTAATGTTCCTCTACTTTCTGTCTGTTTGTGCTCCCCCCCACAGACCGGGTTCTGGTCCCGGACTGGTACCTGCTGGTCGGGTTTTAAAACAGCAGACGTCCTCTGTCTGTCCAACAGCGTGGGAGAAGCAGTGATTGTTAAGGTGGAACTGCTTTATTCAG